TCATTTTTCTGTCTAATCCAATAAGCATAATGAATAACTCTTCTAATTTACTAGCCAAATAGATAAGCAACCCCACTTGAACTGTGAAGAATGTAATGTTACCTGTTGCATGATGAGATTTAATTTCTCATTCTGCTCCTGCAAATAGCTGTTGCTGTTTCAGTGGTTCCCTCTCTTTCTGTGAATCCCATTCCTTGAAACAAGATCTTAGTTCATAGAGGGGAAGAAAGGCACATGAAACTTCAGTGGTGTTACAAGATTGGATTTAGACCCTGTGCCAACAGCTTAGCTATGGTGGTGAGCTCTCAGTTGTCTCGCAATTAGCCAGACTGTCCTCTGTGCACATGAGTAGCCACTGCAGCATCGAAGTTCCATTCCAATGTTTCAGGTGCAAACATTGCAGCTTCCTCACTAGAAGTGACCTTGCAAAGCCTTGCTTCCTTTTGGCCCCAAAATCCAAAGCCAAAGCTGTCCTGGTCTGACGAGTCTCAGTTAGAATCATAAAATTTATGGCTATGTTACCTATCACCGAAAAGCAGACTGACCTATTCAACCATAAACTAACCTGACCCTTACCCTTGCCCACTGGAATGGAGCCATCATCTCAGAGCGACCTCCATGAGTCTCAGAACAGTACTCTTCCATCCTCATTAAACACACTATGACAGTGGCTCTAGACACTAGAGTAACAGTTACGTAAGCTACTCACATTTTTCTGTAGTTAGATGTATTGCTGCCCTTCCAGCTTTTGTTAAGGCTTTTATGTTGGTGGTTTGTGGGGTTTTTTTCCTTTTCTCTTAAATACTCCATTGTAATACTTTCTTTTTCATCCATGCCCACTCCAGTGTGAATTGGCTTCTAATCATCAAGTCCTTGTAAATTTTTATTTTTTTTTAAAAGAAAAAAAAAGGACCAGGCAACCAGAATTGCTTTTGAATGCAAAGACCTGCTCTTTTGCATCTGAAATATTGAATGAGTAGAGATGAAGATATTTCTTTCTTTGCTGTTATTAACATGATCTTCATATTTTTTCCAATTTCATTTACATTAAACAGCTTTTCTTTTTTTTTTCTTCATTTTCTTTAAGGACAAAGAGTCTTTTCTCCTCTCTCAAGCCCAGTGTATATTGTTTTTGATGACTATGAGGAAAAACAGAATTGTCCAGTGTACAGAATGCAGGAGCAAGAATTCTTGTCTTCTGGCTTGCTCCAATCTATACTGACCTTTGGATTCAGTATATCTGGTGTTTTCCTGGAGTATGGAATATGTTGTGAAATACTTGGTGTTTGTCACCCAGCAGTGCTGTAAGGCTTCCTTGGCGGTTGCAGAGTCCTTTCAAAATACTTGGCTAGAAGTTGTTAGTGTCATTGAAACAAGTTTTTACTTGTCGTACTTGTTAGTAACTGCAAACTGTGCCTGTGCATCAGGAGAGGAGAACTGACCCTCAAGTTTTAACCTTGGCAGTTCTTTCAGTAAGGCTCTGGACTAGATTTGTAAAGGTATTTAAGCATTATCCTAGTTAATGTTTCAAGACCTAAGAGATTTATGCTTTGGAGACTAAATTTATTATTTTCAGAAAAGACCTAGAACTCTTAGGTCCTCAACATCTGCTGATTTAAAGTATGCAAAGGAATGCTGAAATACCTTTGAACCATCTGGGCGAGTAATACTTGCTAAGCATTTTATGCTCTTAGAAAACAATGTGTGTCTAAATTCAGCTGCCTTGTTAAACTTGATATCTTTCTCTGTGACTAATTTTTGGCATGTTTTCTTCTTCGTTATTTGCGACTGCTGCCTGCATAGGACCTGCTAACTAACCCCTCCTCCTGTAAGCAGGTGAGTATCATTGTCTGCCTTCTCATCCTCTTGCTCTGTGTGTGAAGTCCCACACCTTGACATTATGGGACCGTGACTCCTGTCATGCTACTCTTTTATATGCCCTTGCACTCTGCCTTCTGGGTGGGGAAGGTGGTTACAAACACTTCCTTTAGTTGTATTAGCTCTAGAGTAGGAAGAAGTTCCTGTTCTTTTACTTAGTTATAATCTCACTGTCGTTTCTGCTGGTGTCTGTATCCCCCTTTTTGATGATCCTGAGGGAAAAAGGCCAGGGACAAAGAAGAATGTGAATGTGAACTCTTCCTTAACCAAAGTATTCATCCCTCTAGTGGAGAACAAAAGGTGCTCTCAGGGAGTCTTCGCTCCCACTGTTCCCATCTGTAGTCCATCTGCTTTGGAAAGTACTGAAGTCTACAGATGCCTTCACTAGCCATAAACTCTCTGATAAAGAAAATATTTCTTTGTGTAGAACTGGACACTTTGGCAGAAGGATTTGTGCCATCTGAGGACCAGAAGGGTTAGAATGGAGGAAAGTTGCATTTCAGCCTGATGAAGCCCTCAAAAAATTCAGTGAAAGACTAAAATGGCGTTTAGATAAGTAGAGATATTGGATTTTCCATATGTCTTTAAACTGGATGCCTCTCAATTTATTCAGCATCTTAAGCAAAATTCTTGGCAATAATTTTGGTAATAGCAGTGCTCTGGGAAGAAGATTATTCAGATGTCACAAGTGTCTCTAGTGGCTTCAGAAGAAAGTAGTTCTCACCATGAGTGCTCAGGGAACTATATTCAGAAAGTCTAGTCAGGATTTCTACCACCGGGGGAAGCTAATACATGGCTCTGGGTCTTCTACTGTGGCAGTACACCAAGAAAGAAGTCAATATGGTTGAAATAGTTCCCTGAAGTACTGATAATTACTGGAACCTAGGATTCTGCCGTGGTACCAGACCACGAGTTCTTCAGCTTACCAAAATCAAACTCCATTTGGAACAAGATCTCAATAGGATGAACATGTATAGTCATTCTAGCACTAAAATTTTAGTTGATTTTTGACTTTGCAATTAAAATATCAACCATGAAATACTCTTTGAAGCACATAACATAATATTATTCCAGATGGAAAGTTGATAAAGAATGATAGGATAAAACTTAGGCATCTTGTCTGTCAGGTTGGCAACAGCTCCAACTGTTTTTGCTTTCAGGGCTTGGCCTCTCTCACAAAAGCTAGTCACCACTGCCCTCTTGCTCAGCTTCTTGGGTGTCTGAGAAAATGTGGATAGTGCATATGCAATCTGTTTTCCTTCATCTAGGCTTGGAATCTGGCTTTGGTAAAACCTGAGGCTTCATCTGCTTTTGCTTACACCTAACTCCAAGTATCTATAAATATCTACTCAATATGACTTTAGGAGAGTATATTTTTAGATGAGACTAGCCCCCTCCTTATAACCAAGCAGTAGGCCATGTCTGAACAGTTGAAGTTATTTGTTGAACCTTGTGGGTTGGGGAATTGGAAATGGCATGTAGGCTATTGTACCAATCCGTGCTGCATGGCTTTAAGAGAAGGTAACTAAAACCCCCACCCCACATACACAACCAAACGCTGAAACTTTTTTTTTTTTTCCTTTGGGATGGCTGCTGGTTGTCACCATCTAGGTGTACTTGTGTGTCAACATTAGCTAGTGAGGATCAATGGAACTTTGAAACTAAGAGCACTGACCAACAAGTACCATTCTTCCATTCAACAGCTCCCCATCTCCACCTTCCCCTATGTTCCTCCCCACAAACTCAGAAAACTCAGAAGAACTTCAAAATCTCTACATGCCAGATTATACTGGGGGTGCTCTGCTTTTTGGCATTGTTAGTTATTCTCTCAGAAATAATGAACTTTTACCCAATGCCAATTTTTCCTTTGTTTGGAAACACTATTTGATGTATCAAGTAACATTGCAATTTTTTTCTGCCAAGCTAGGCACTTTGGCTAGCTTCACTGTGTGCATGGCTTCAGCTGTGCATTGTACCTGCTTATAAATGCCACTTGCTATTGGTGGTGGCTCACTGCAGCACATTTGGACATGGCTTTATGAATCCCTTGTATATCCACCAGCAACAAAGATTCTTTGTAGCTGAATATAACAATAACTGAGATGACAACTAGCAATATGAATCTGTGATTTACATTAAACACTCAAATACTTGGGTGTCAAAATCTCTTGGATTAGTCATGCTGATATATAAGTAAGCCTTGAGTTGCAGAACTTTGAGTCCTGAGAATGAATTCTGGGAAGCACCACTGTAGGCTTGCCATGATCTAACACATTTCTCTGGGTATCTGCAGTTGACAGGAACAGGAACAGGATTCTGGGGTAGATGGGCCTTTTGATCTGACTCAGCATGCTTGCTGTTATATACTAAAAAAAAGTCAAGTTGCTTATTTGACAGGTGCATTCAAAGCTAGATTATACTGGTAAATCTCAAAATCTCAAGGCCTGAGAATATGGGTATCATGGAAAGGCATTTTTGAAAATGTTCCAGCAGCAGTTAGCTGGGAAAATAAAAACTCTTCTTTCCAATTCTCTCTTCTCTGTTGGTAACTACAATGCTATTATTGAGAATCAACACCTTTAATCATTACCTCTACTGCCCTTTAAGGAATGGTGTTAAAAGATACTGAAAAGTAACTACAGAAAACCAATCTCTGGAAGTGAAACAAATACCATGACTGTCATGTGTAGGCAGGACAAGGAGACAGAAAGAGGCTTCTGAATGGTCAGACTGAGTCTGCAAATATTTTATCTCTGTGTGCTGTGACAAACATTCTGGACAGGATTTTCTAGGGAACTTTTTTCAGGTGATGAATACAGCAGTGGGGATATACAGAGAACTTTGGAAAATATTTCTGTACAATTCGATGTATTAATTAGTTTTTAAAAGAGAAGATAGTATAGATTTAGATTTTGAGTTTAGTAAGATAAATGCCATTGTGCACTATAGTTTGCATCTCTCATGTAATATGGATTGATCAGGTCCAATGCCAGCCTTAAGAGATGACAGAAGGATTTTTACTGATTGTGCTGCAGTCTTCAAGAATGTTGAGTAACCTCTGCAGGAGGTGCATCCACTGAAGGATATGCTGTGACACCAGTGGGCTATATCATAATGTGCATGATTTTCCAGTCATGCCAGTTTTTCACATTTGCATAATAACATAACTATTGGTAGGGTGAGCTCACTAGGTCAGAACCGGGTCCAGTATTTGGGATGAAAGATGATCTCATAGGTATTAAGGAATTATTTCTGTTTGTCTAGTAATACAGGATGTACCTACATGCTTTCTACCCTTCTTGTCTCTTTTTCTTACCATGCGGGTGGATTTTTCTAGGTTGGAATGGGTTTGCTCATTACACTCTGCTAAAGCAATCAGTCTTGGTTGAGAAACATAATACTGATTGTTTTCCCTCCTTTTGAAATATGTGCAGAAAGAGATGGGCTCAACAGAAGACCTTTACCTCTCCACACGAAAGGTGAAAGAGCTCTCTGTGATCGATGGCAGGAGGGCCCAGAATTGTGTCATTCTCCTTTCCAAGTAAGTGTGCTAACCCTTAGCTCACAGGGCATGCCATGGTCAATGCAGGGGCAAGAGGGAATGGAATTAAACAAATGGACACATTTCTTTTCCCAGCTAGGCCTGTTAATACCTGCAGAGCCTCAGACAAACCTCTCTTATGGTTTCATAAAAGCATGTTTGTCCAACATTGTCTCACTTAATGAAAATATGTGCACAGACACATTTTGTGCATCAAACAGCTGAACACCAGCAGATACCTGAAGACTCATCATCAGAAAATTACCACTACTCACTGCTAGATGAAAGCAGGTCTTTGACAGTGCTTGGACTTTACTCTAACTGATGTGTCCCCATGTTCTCTGTCTGTCACTTGTCTCTGTTTTGTGTGTTTCTTTCTAAATGTTGTTCTGAGCATCTCCCTGGAATACAGAAGAGCTGAGAATGATGTTCATTTTTGTCATTTTGGACTTGTGGTGAGAACAGCGGTAAACGTAGAGCGACATATTCAAGAGTTAGGTCTTCTGTTTGTAAATTAGGTGTTGGAAGCCAGTAGTTCCTTTTGGATATTCCTGCAATGACTGATGCATTCAAATGCAGTGACATCATGGCCCTTTATATCTTTTCATGTCTTTCTGCCAGGATAAATACTGGCCTGTATGTCTGTCTCCAGCTATCAAATTTGTGCAGATGCTGATCAATCTGAGAAAGTTGCTTTTCCTACCAGAGGAGGGACTGCAAGGCTGGAGACCGAACCTGGTAAAGCTGTGGCAGTACTGAGCAGAAAAACTGTTCCAATGTTCAGTAGAAAATACAGTTCATATGGATGTGATGCTTTTCTGCTCCAGCAAGCTAACAGTTAAAAGCAAAGTTTCAGCCAAACCACTGGGACTGGAATGAGTTCTTTCCATCGTTTAGTGAAACCCACGGAGGCTCTCATTATGCTACTTATGTGGCATTAGCCTGCATGTCAGCAGGACCCCCACCACCCAAACCTTCAGTGAGGGAAGGCTTACATTTCTCTCTCTGCAGCAGTTGCCAACGCATGTCTTTGCTGGTGTTGGCAGCTGACTGAGACTGGGGCAGAGGAATGGGGAGGCACAGAGGCAACAGGATTTTCATGCTGTTTGACGGACCTACTAAATTGTGTCTGAGGTTTGGGTTAACTCATGTAAGCAGGTGGAACTTTTCCTAGAAACGTTAACATAATGTGTGCAGTTTGCTGGGCTGAGGAAAATCCAGGAAGGTGGTCTGTGACTTGGTATGGCACTGGATATTACAAAAATCTTCTATCTATCTCCAAAACAAAAGCTGTGTGGATGGCAGCAATATGTGTTTTTCAACATTCACCCCTTTCTGCCATGGAAGTCTGGGCAATTCTTACCAGAGAAGAATCCTCTCTATACAATGAGAGAGAAAGGACAGTCTCTGTGTTTTGTCCTCCCTTCTGCTGCCTCCAGCAGCAGTGTCATTGAAGCATGAACTTTGCACTTCAAGATAGACAGCATGTGTTCATTCTAGGTGTGACATGAATTCAGTCCACCTCAAACTGCTCTTCTGGACTCAAACCAGAGGTGAGAAACTGGTTTTTGTCACTGTCAGCTTCTCCACTAGGAAATATCTTGCCCTTATTGTTAGCAGGCCTAACATGGATGATAGAGATTTGGAGACTGAGCTGTCCCTAAGGAGCCTGCCAGTTTGTATTGTTGCCCTGTTAATTATCCTGTGCTGTGCTATTGGAAACACCAGTTTCCAGGGCTATCACTGGCTTAGATCATTTTAAGTTTTTAACAGATAGTGTTATACTTAGAATATCAGAAATATCTTACAGCTTGGCCCAGGATTGGTGTTCCTCCCCAAATTTCCCTTTTAAATGCAACCAGAGAAGCAAAAATCATTGAGAACTAAAATAACACCTCTACATTCATACCTTTTTTGCTCTTTGTGCTTATATGGTTCTATTATTAAAGACAGCAATTGGGAGGATTTGCTGCAGACAATAATTGAAAGGGTTTTATGACCCCTTTGCAGTTTTTTTCATTACCCGCTTCTTCCTCCTTTAGGTTAAACCCTAAAGGAGAGACACTCCCAGCCAAATCGTCCCTGTCCGCCGCCATGCCCTTGCTGGTCCTGCAGCACACGTCACACACATGTGCATGTGGGTGTGCACACATGTGCAATGGCAGGGGATTTTAAACTGGTGACAAACAAAGAGAGTTTGTGCAACCCTGAGCTTTCAGGTTGCCACGCTATCTGCCAACAGCTGTTTCCAATTGACTCTTACTGTGCATATATCCCTGTAGTTTATTCCCCCTTTGTTTACACTAAACTGTCGTGTCCTTTAAAGTAAAATAGGCTGCATGGGTTGGGTTTTCTTTCCCTCCCCTACTCAAATGTTTTTGTTTTACTAACACTGTGTTAGAAGGGGTCAGGCAGAGCTCATATTTCATATGGTCCAATAAGCCAAAACCTAGCAAGAATGAGAAAGAGATGTCTCTTGCTTTCTTTTGCAGAGAGACTGCAGCATGGTAGACTGAAAAGAGATGAAAATTGAATTGCTAGTTTATTTTTGCTGACAGTCAACAGATTCGTAAGCCTTCCTCCCCATTTCCGTCTCCATTTCCATAAAAAAAGCTCTATTTCAGCTACTGGATAGTAGTAGATCTTTCAGTGTTCCTGCAGCGGAAGGATTAAATTATCCTTTTTTAACAGAGCCTGATGGGTCTAAAACAAAGCTCTGTTCCATAGGTCCACTTTAAAAGTTTGAACAGGCACAAGATGAGTTTATCTCACAGTATTTCCAGTAGGCCATAGTTTAACCGGGACATGGAACCATCTGTTTGTGGTGAGTTCAGGCGCCCACCAACCTGCAATTTAGCTTTCTGAATGATGTTTCTTACAGATACTTCTGTCACACTGGAAATCTGCTATCTCTCAGGAACTTCCTGATGTCTTCAGTTTCCTCCAGGCTGGAGATTTAGTGTCAGACTTGTGTGGTCTGAAGGAGTCATCCCAGATTGCCATGTTTCCCTGCTTTCACCTAGCAGCTGGAAATTTCTCTGACCTCTCTCACCAGTATGGCTTCTCCCTGCCTCCATTACTTAAGTAATGGGTAATATTTTCACTGCTCTACTGTAAAAGTAGAACGTAAAGTACCATATCTTTAAATGTTCTTGCAGAACGTGCCCAAAATACGTATCAATTACTTTCTTGGTCTATGAAACGCTCTGGAGAGATTCAGTTCTCTAAGACATCTTGTTTGGAAGGAGGCTGAACATATACTTGTGGAACTTTTTTTTTCACAAGTTATTTTGCATGAATTTCAGAAAAATAATTATGTCAGTGTTCTTCTGAGATGTGTTTGTTATTCCTGTGGCCCAGAGAGTCAGCGGTAACCTTCTCAAGAGAAAGATTACTGGAAATAGTAGGAATGCTAGCAAAATGTCATAAAACCATAAAAGGCAGAATCTGACTACACAATACTAGTTTTAAATGTGAGTATGACAGTAGATAAATACTAGCAGGCAACTTTACCAAATGTTTGTGGCTTTCATGATTTTCTATTCAAACATCAATAAGGGAGAAGAAAAGGGTCTTGGGCAGAATTTTCAAAGAGAATCCTGGAGAGATCAAGTATTTTTCTCACATCACTGTAACTTATCAGTGCTTTTAAACCCTTTTAGTTCAGACATTAAGAGGACAAGTCATTCAGCCAGTGTCAGTCTCCATGTACTGCCTCTACACTACCCCAGTCCCTGTGTGCCTTTCTACCATGTGACAGTACAGTGTTCACCCTTATTTCACAGTAGATTCGAAATAGTATGATATTCTGGGATACAGATCATATCTTGATACAGAAACAGCTAATCCGACTCAGCAGTTCAGTTCCTCAGTGTGCTGTCTTGAAAAACATTGGGCAACAAGCCCTCCTGGGTTCCTGAGGAGATTTTCTGGTTTCAAGTGAAGGTCTGCAATAAATGGTTTTACCTGCTATCCTGAGTGTGATACTCAAAGGCAAACCGAGCATGCTAGTCAATGCCATCCTGTCTTAGGTCATGACTAGGAACCAGGAGGTAGGGTTGTGATAAAAGATGAACCACTCCCTCATCAATATCTGACCATAATTTGGGGACTCCCAAGTTTGGCCCTGTTTTGCTCTTCTTGGGTAAGAAAGATGTCATCCCCAGATCCTTCTTGGAAGGAAATTGAGAGTATTTGGATAAAAAGTGGCTTGGTCACCCATGAGCTTTTGCTGAAGGAGGACAGGAAAAGAAAAGCCCGTTTCTTTATGCGCTTGCCAGAATACTTTCATAGTGAAGTGCTGAAAAGGCACTGGTGGATTTTTTTCCCAACATGTTGATATAATGGTATAAGATGTACCTGGTAAAATGTCCCAACTGTTGTGCCACAAAAGTTAAAGCAGTGTTGTCTTCACTGACAAGCTGAGGATGTGGAAAGAATGGCTGCATCTTTCTGTCTTCTGACTGAGTGTGCAGTCAGACCAGCCTGACTCCTGAATGCTGCTTCTGAGAGGAGGCTATTACAGGATAGTGACAATGAATATTCCCAAAACACAGATATTGAACAGCCTGTAGCTTGGCAGTTGTACAGAGCCTTAGGAGAGCTCAGGAGTTAGAGAAAGCTTATGTCTCAGTCACAAGGTTTGGGAATGAATTAACTAGTAGCCTGTGTGAAATGACTTGTGGAGATATAGAATTCTGCAGTCATCAAAAAAGATTTGTTTGGGCTATACAAACTGGCCTTAGGACGTAGCTGAGTATCAATCAGTACCTCTCACTATCACAGCTATTATTGTTGGCATCTTTTGGAAGCACTGTAGTTCAGTAGGAGCTATAAAATGGCCTTGATACACGATAATCAGTCCCCTTCTCCAAGGTAAGAGTGGGACTGTGATCCCTGTCCTATGGGAGCTTAAGATAGCTACAAAAAACCTGCAGGTTCTCTGTTAGTGGGCAAGCATTCTTTTTTTCTCAAAAGCTGAGCAAGATCCAAGGAACAACCCCATGAAGTAATTCACTTTTTCCTCAGAGGGGGAGATGGTTAATGAGTGACAAATATTCTGCTTTGATTCATGTGAGGAAGAAATGAAGGGGGGAGGTTACTGTGAGTTAAATCAATGGGTATATTTAAGGAGGAAAAATGAGTGAGCACTGAATGTCTGTAAGGGAAGTTGATGTAAAACTGCAACATGTCTCCCAGGCATGTTCTGAGTCAGGCTGCCAGTGTTCTCCAAGAGGACGAAACAATAAACCACTTGATGTCTGCAAGTGAAGCTGGTGTTAAATCAGTCGAGGTGTCCTGGGGAGATTAGTGATGAATTACTCTACAGAGTCAATAGAGATTATTTATGAAGCCAGAGGGGATAGAGGGAGGCAGGCTAAGTACCATATCAGAAGTTATTTGGTAGTTGTTGAGCTTTAACATTGCTTGAAGATGACTCAAGCAGTTGGACTTCCATATGCTGCCACCAGATGTACGGGTGAGGGCAGAAGGAGGGAGTATTCTCCATGAAGATCCGTTCCTTTCGTCATCTGACCAGTGTCAGGCTGCTGTTGAAAAAACAGCCAATATCTGTTCTATGAATGAATGTGCTGCAGCTGAGGAAAGGGGTATTGTGTTTTGTTCTGGTCACATTTACTTCCTGAATCGTGATCCCAGGATACATGATTTAGAGAAATGTAAGGCAGAGGAAATATAGCTTGAATTGTACACTGTTCTGAATTGAGTTACCTCCAGGAACAGGAGGAAGAGTGCCTGGATCTGCAAAGCTTATAAGAAAGTCATTGCAGACTTTCCAAGAGATACCAAAATGTAATTTCTGTAGTGTAAATTTTTGGGCCATAATCCCACTTTAATTTGGTGTCTGTTTCATATGAGTTTTAGGCTCTGAGGGATGCCTCTATTCAGTTTTAAATTGAAAGATTTTACGCATCTGCTTTAGGTTCTTCTTTAATCAGTTCACCTGTTTCTGTTTAAAAGCAGCACATCTGTTTCACATTACTCTGGCCATCTTTAGAATCTGCTGCATGGCTAGGCATGAGTTTTGAAAAAATACAAGAAGAATCACTTGATTAACAATTCTTTGGCCAGTTATTCAGCCAGTTTTTAAGTAGGGAGATCTGTGTTTTGTGCCACTGATGCTCTTGAAATGCATCCTGTCCCAGAAGAAGAACAAACCCATTTTAGAAAAGTAAGATTGTTCTGCTGTAAATTCCTCTATACTTGTAATTAGATTGGTAATAATCTAGGATGCACACCTGCAGGCACCGTGACCCTGTTACAGTCCTGTAAGTGACCGAGTTAAATTGCTTCTTGGCGGGGGACTGGCAAGCTTTCTCTCTACTGAAGGCTAAACCATTCAAGCCAGATGTTTTTCTGCTGATGGAAGAGGGCACAGAATCATCCAAGAAATCAGTGTGTTTGTATAACTGTCTGTCCTTGGGGCTCTCAATTATTTTTGAACAGAAGATGTTTTGAAGTGTATTTAGTGCTGACGAATGGCAGCAAACAGAGGAGCTTGGAGTCTGAAGTCTTCAGGCTCCTGAACTGAGCAGCAAGATCAGCAATAATATGCACAACATTGTGTTGATGTACCTCAACCCTGCTTGTTTGTTCTTGTTTACTGCATCCCCAAACACACACAGAGTGAAATGCACTGTGTAATGGGTGGTCGGTGCAGTAGTTGCTCAAGTTATTTGCATGGAAAAAATATGAAAATCACCCTCATTCTTTTTAACCTCAATGAAAATAGCAACAAAAACCCCCTTCACCCCAGTGTTAATAGGCTGGTTTATTGCATTCCCTCTCGCAGACTGTGTGCCTGTGTTATGAGACACACTAATCTTCAGACTCCGGATTCTGAAAAATGCAAAGGTGCTCTCTAAAGGAAAAATAACCCACAAAATGTAACACTTTAACAACTGCAGGCACCAAATTGTTTGGCATGAGTAATATGTGTGTGCTAGGAATCAGATCCACAGCCACCAATTTCAGCCCTCATCTGGTCACAGTGTTCAATCAGTTTGGGGTCACACAGCCATGGACTTTGCAATTCATTATTAAAGCCAAAAGTAACCCATTTTCTGATTGAGGCTGTAAACTTTATGCAGAAGTCTGTGTACTGAAGTTTGTTGCTTTGATCTGGAGTCAAACTGATGACCTGAAGTAAAAAGTTTCCAGCCTTCTCATTGTAAAACTTTTAATCCTTATGTCTCATCCAAGCATGGCCCAATTATGTAGCTTTTCTGGAAATTCGGTATGTAATCTTGCTTAGCTGGTATCAGTTTGCCCTCCTTGTCAAAAGAAGACATGATGACCAGCTAGAAACAGAATAAGAGCAATTAGTTTAGAGATGTAATCCGTAAAAGCTGTTGATTCACATTTTAGTTTCCAGCTGTTGGTTATATTGGGCAATATTAAAATGTTTTAAGTTTCTTAGATTTAGTAATATTTCCTGTTATAAAAATAAAGCTTTTTCTTTTGCTTTTACCTAGTTCCAAAAATATGATTCTATCCAAATGGCAATGGCAATGTGAAATTTCAACATGGAATTTTTTAGCACTGAAGAGAGAAACATTTTGTCTCATGCATCAGCCCATCTCTTATTTATATTTGCATTTTCTCTTTCTGCTGTTAATTAATTATGTTGATTGTAAAAGGCCTATGGAGACTGTAGACTTCACTCCTCAGATATTTTTTTTCACATTGTCCTGTTTCAGTCCCAAAATTGAGATTTTCTTGCAGACAGCCATTCCTTTATGGTTCCTTTGGAACCCCTCTACTGTCCTGAAATGACTGGTGAGAATGTCATGGTTTGGTGCTGGTGGGGTAGAATTTCTCATTCGTGCATTTCTTTGTTGACATTGGCTCTGAGAACCACCAAGTTCATTTCACATGTCCATCAAGGAACATCTCAGTGATGGTCCAGCTGCCCTGGATTTCAAGTAGAGACCTCAAGACTTTTTTTTTTTTTTTTAAATTTATTCTGTGTGTAGTTGTAGCTGATGACCCCTATTCGTTGCACACAGGTAGACAGAAGTAAGTGGTAAGGAGAGTGTAATTTTAGTACCTTAGGTAACATTAATAAGCTCTTGTTTATGAAACATGGATGTGTAGATGCTGTCTATCCCTTCATCAGCTGTCACTGCTGAAAAAGTTAACTTACCTAGCACAGCAAGTCTTCTTACAAGAAACTCTATTCTCAGTAAGGAAATGTTCAGTCCTATTATTTGTTGCTCTGTGAGATGCTTTAATATTCAGAAGTTGGGTTGTTACATGGGCTTGGAGTCTTAAATCATATGGATTTGAGGAGTTTTTCTACAGCAAAGGATCTTGATGAGGGAGGTATCTGGTATGGGAGAAGCTGGAAGCACTTTTGATCTATGAGGACTTGATTGTTAATCACTATCTGATTTTTGATGTGTGTTTGATTAGCTGAAGAGGATAAAAACATGTGATCTATAAAATCTCTGTCTTTAGGACTGATTTGTTCATCTTACTGAATACTCTAGAGTAGTAACTTCACAGTAGAGCTTGCCAGGGTTGTTTCATGCCTTTTCAGTGCAGTGTTTCAGGACTTCTACTTTCTGAATTGTCAGAGTCACTTAAGCTTTGAACTAATGGTACAATGTTGATACTTTTGAAAGGCTGAAGCTGTCTAATGAAGAAATCAGACAAGCAATACTGAAAATGGATGAACAAGAAGACCTAGCAAAAGATATGCTTGAGCAGGTGAGAAAGATTGCAGTCAGATATAACTTATTTTTAATCTTTCACTGCCTTTTTTTCAAGTGGATGTATATACTAGCTGTGCTGGTGTGTCTGCAGATCTGAACTTGGCCCTGCCATGTCAGTGGAGCTGTATGTGGGAGCATGAGAAAAGTATTTTTCCCAATGTTGTCAGGGTATACCTCTGTCCTATAACTGTATCTGTATCAGGTTGATTTCATAAGTTTTCTCTTTTTAATGCAAAATATGCAGATTACAGATGGTATGAGTTTATTTTCATGGTCTCTCTTTTCCCATAATTTTTCCCATTTTTTGTTCTTCTTTTCTTCATCTCCCTTCTTTGCCTGCAGCTTTTCTTTTGGGAAATGCCAGGAACCAGGCTATGTAAATTGATGGTTAGAACCAGGACTAGGAGGGATCTTGCGTTTGAACTGGAATGGTTAGAAAGGGAGTCAGAGACTTATATTACATCCCTGGCACTTGGTCGACCATGTAACTTGTGAGGGGAAAAAACCCCACAATTAAACCACCATTGCCCTATTTCCCCCATTTGCAGATGGTGACAGATGATGCTTTGACCAAAGATGCAAAGATGATAAAGTTCCTTAGCAGTGTGAAAAATGTTGTAGTTATGAACTGTCTAACAAATATGATTCCCTCTTTTTGTGCAGTCACAGTATTTAATCATGTAAAAAAGGCTTTTCCACTTTGGAAATTTATAGCCTATTTGTCACTTTACCTGAATGCTCACAGCTGCTCCAGAAGTAACTGCAAGCTCCCAATGCTCCACACCTTTGAATATCATATTTTTGCAGAGTGGAGTAAAATATTAAGAAGCAATAAAAAGCAAAGTGTTTGATACGCCTTGTGAGCAGTTTTTGTGGGCGTGCAGTGAGGCTGTGTGCATGGCAGTATTTATGACCATACTAAAGCGCAGCTACAATCAGATATGTCAAAAATCTGTCAAAGTATGAGCTTTTAAGGTCAGCATATGAATAGCAGCCAGTGTCAGAGGCATATCCAGTTGCTTGGTTATTGTTTATTGTTTCAGCAGTGTTGGGCATACGCAGGAGAGAGATAGATGAGGCTTTGTGTGTACTCTATGATAGGCATGATGGGTACTTTACAGTGTGTGGGACACATCCTGCTCTTGTTTTCACCAATCTAAACTCCAAGTAATGCTGTGGGAATCAAGTTCTCTCTGTATTTCCCCTTGGGTAAGTTGCAGTAGCACTTGGCCTTTAAGATTTTGAAATGGGAAATTCCCTGTGGAATTAAAAATTAATCTTAATGGGGTCAGTGAAGGATAAAGACAGAACAGCAAGCAAAGGTTTAGAAAAGGTCAGTTTTGTAGACACAGCTGCACTTTTTTGAAGTTATGGTCACACGGCTGAGTCAATGTAATTCTTCCCCATGGCAGCAGAGAAATCTGAGGGCCTTCTCTCTCCATCAGAGTTTGTTTGTGCCTCTCTGTTCCCTTCTCATTTTCCTTGGATCTTATATCTCAGTGTTTGATTTGTGTCTCTCACTGTAGCTACTGAAGTTCGTTCCTGAAAAGAGTGATACTGACCTGCTGGAGGAGCATAAACATGAAATCGAGCGCATGGCCCGGGCGGATCGTTTCCTCTTTGAGATGAGCAGGTCTGTTTGATACATTATGGGAAAGTGCACACAGGACTTCTTGGTAGCAGCTGTAATTGTTATTGAAAATGGATCATCCGGCACTGGAGGGAATGCACGAGAGATTGTGGGCCAGCATTACACCCTGCTTTTGCCAGAAGCCCACAAATGTTACAAGTATTTCCGTTCATGACACAAAATTTTTATTGACGATAAGCATAAGCACTTTCTGTGCACAAGATCTAGTCCTGTGATGGCAAGCAGAAATCTGCCTCCTCTACCTAAACTTGTTCACAAAAAGGAATTCATATCCAAGCATGGATACATATGTGTAGTGTAACCAGGAGTCAGGTTTTCATATTGATCCCTTTTTCCAATCAGCTATCCATTTGCTTATCTTCTGACCCTCTTTCTTGTTCCAGCTTTGCTACACTCCTAATCGGGATTAACATCTTGTTCTGCTAGTTGAGGTGCATCTGGCATCTCCATAGCTCATACTTTGAGAGTAATGGGAATTCTTGCAGCTCCTTTTCAGCTGAGATCAAGATATGACTTGAGGTCCTCAATTTTCATAACAAGATTGATTATACAGTTATATATATGTTTGAACTATGTCTGTAATCCCATGCCTAGGCCTCATGGGACTGAACATCCAACCATTAGATTATGTGGGCAGCGTACTGGCCCTGGGCTTTAGGAGTTCCAGTTCAGTGTTGGCTTTCCTCTACCCTTCATGCAGGATTGACCACTACCAGCAACGGCTGCAGGCATTATTCTTTAAGAAGAAGTTTCCAGAGAGGCTGGCAGAAGCAAAACCAAAAGTGGAAGGTATGGTTAATAAAGCTTTTGCTATGAGTTGGCTAGAGGGGCAGGGAAGGTCAAGAGAGGCTTGTTTTCAAAAGAGATGTTGTTATGCATCCCATGTTTGTAGGGCCAGTGACCCCAAGGCATGTCATATCCTAAGCAATTAATTCTGTCTGACACTCTTCTTGCACTCATTGACTTAATAAAGCCAGTTTCATGATTTTTACACTGTAAATATGACCTAACAGATGTGACTGTGTGCTATCAGGCTCTGCTGAGCTGCCAAAACTTTCATCTTTCATGGCCCTTCTGTGCAGGTCAGCCTTCCCTTCTCACCCTCAAGTCCTTGCGCCTTCCCTCTCCAAAGAGCACTTAGAATAGTTGCCTCAGGACACTGATATTCTTGGAATGTCTAACTTACAAGTAGGGGAGATATATGCCTTCTGTACCACATCCATAGTTATTGCAGAGAAGAGGGGAGTGTATTGTAATCTGCACTTCCAGATGAGCTCAAACCTTCTCCCTGTTCTCACTCACTCTGTTTTTAGAGTGTAAAGTGTGGGAGAACAGCCTTGATCCTATGTTCAGAGGAGCTTCCTGCAAGCTAGATGTATTTTCCTTCCAGTTGTCCTTATTCTGTGTATGGGGGGGAGCAGGAAGGACAGTACACACAGAGACGGTGTTGGAGCATTTATTGTGCAATAGTCAAATAGGCATTTCAGGATACTTCAGTTATGGGCCCAAGTATTTTAAAAACAGCCACTGAAAAATAACCTTTTCTACTTTTCTCTCTCTCTTTTCAAGCCATTCTTCTGGCATCCAAAGAACTCATCCGAAGCAAGCGTTTGAGGCAACTCCTGGAGGTAGTTCTGGCCTTTGGGAATTACATGAACAAGGGCCAAAGGGGAAGTGCTTATGGCTTCAAAGTCTCCAGCTTGAACAAAATTGCAGACACCAAATCCAGCATAGACAGGTAAGGTAGAATGCTGTAAATGCATCTGTTGCTGTGCTGCTGCATCTCTTATCATAGTAATGAAAATAGAGTTTCATTTGGTTTTAGCTCTGTAGACAACTGGAAATTATGTCTTATTTGGCCCTTAAGTAGAGCTTTTTTCTCTTAAAGATTCTGCAGCAATTAAGACTGGTTATTAACACAGCACTCAAATTCCGCTGTTTCTCTGGATAATGCACTTCTGTTGTTGGATTGTGTTTCTGCAACGCTATGCAAAGATGACAAAATGCAGTATTTCACAAATGACTGAAATAAGTTTGGGGAGAAGGAGGATTTCCATGGAATTTGCCCTTTATACCAAAGTGTTATGGCAATGGTTTTGCAAAAAAGAAAACAATAAACTCTGGACACAGTTTTGTCTCCTGTGAAACATGGCATATGTTTCTGATGCAGGACTGTCATAAACTGTCTCTCTACCTACACCAGTAATGGAACCACAAGGCATAGCTCAGAGAGACTGGTTATATCTAGAGCAGATAAGGAAAACAGCTGGTTTAGGAAGGTGGAGCTTACTGTTTATGGAAATGGACTGCAGGTCTTTTTAGTGCTTCCCCATGTTTTTCCTCACATCTCCATAGTGGTTCTGGAAATCAATCCGTCTGTCACTGGGGAGAGAATATGAATTTTGGGCTCTAGCAGTACTACAGTTTTCCTTGGGAATCTCTTACACTGGTGCTTCCTTGACTTGTGAGACCCGCTGAGACCGTAGTTGTGGTGAAATAACTTCAGGCTGTGACAGAATGAATAATGGCAGTGAAAAACCATAGGAAATTCATCCCTACATAATAGAGTTTGAACTAACAGAGTTCTGTTTTGACTACTACAATGTCCTTTCCATATTCCAAGGCTAACACTTGTGTAGCTAGTGTTGAACTTTTTTTTTTTGGCCTTACTGTAGCTTGGCTTGATTTTTCCATATATTAAACATCCTGTGCAGATTCTGTTCTCTCACCAGTTCCAAGCACCCAGGCTCTGGTCTGTGTGAAGCAGTGGCCATCTGATGTCTTCCCTGACATCAGTTAATCGCATAACACCCACCTCAAGTAGCTTGTACGTGCAAAATTCGTCATTTACTTTACAAGTTTTCTTAAACTTTCTCCTGCATCCCTGATACATCTCTATTCTACCTGCTCCTATTTGAGCTGCTACTACTTTTTTGGTAGCGAGCCTGACCAATACTCGTAAGCTGAGCTGTTTCATTACTGCAGGAGATTTCTTTGCACCTTCTTCTCCCTCCTCTTAGTTAACTCTGAGATTTTTTTTCCCACATTGCCTCTGAGAACAGCTTGCTTCTCCTTTACAAGTTAATGTCACTTTAGTACTATTAGTTGTTTATTCTCTGAAGTATTGAGGACAAATATTATACTTTGTTATGCAATTTTCTGTTACACCATCTACCAGTTGGATGGAAGCATGCTGATGCTTCCAGGACAAATTAAGATACAATCTATTGCTTGAGATTTTAGGAAGGATGGTTATTAAAGGACTAATTTATTTTAGTCTGTTGTACTTTTCTTTCAGGAACAGACCTCCTAAATGCTAATATATTGTTTGTTTTGCTCAGTCAAGCATATTTCCTACTTTTTCACTGATTTGTCACAATCCTCCCACCATCCTTTCCTTCTCATGAACATCATCCTTCTCATTTCTCCCTTCTTTTTTTTTTTCCCCCTTAGGAATATTACACTGTTGCACTACTTAATTATGATCTTTGAAAAGAATTATCCAGATATCCTAGATATTCAGTCTGAGTTGCAGCATCTTCCAGAAGCAGCAAAAGTCAAGTAAGTCCAGTGCTATTGCTTGTTCCCAGAGCTGGAGTTCCCAGTGATTTCTGTTAGCTTAATTATCATAATTTTTTCATTTCTGTCTTTTAAACTCAAGGCCAGCCTTCCAGTTGAAATGTCTTTGTTGTAGATAACTAAATTGATAGCTTTACCCAGATATGCCTATATCTGCTTTGTTTCTGAATCTCACGTTGTAACTAGACTGGCTGTTGTTTGTAATTCACTCACCATATTCTATAGTTGTTCATCTAAGTCATGCTATTTTTTCTGGGTAATTGCAGGTTTGTTTCCAAGGCAGAGTCAATTAGACACAGAGCCTACAATAAGCCTTTATCGGGAACATTGTTCAAACTGTTGCACAAATCAGTCTCGCACAGAAAGCATCATAGTTTCTGCAAAAAATTCAATGGTTTTTTTTTCCATTTCTGGAGGAATTTCTGAAAAATGAATACAGAAACCATCCCCCAAAATACTAGCATTTTTTTTCTTTCTAGAGCACTGTTCAAAAAATACCTTTGCATATTATTTGCCCAGCCGTGATTCTTTGTATAAGGAACTAGTCCAACTAATGAACGACGAGTGAAAAACAAATGTATTTTCACACTTAAAAATATTTTTTAAAGCTTAAGTAGTGTTTTTGAGATGCAAGCTACAACTCACCAAATACTTGAAAGAGATGCCTGCTGACTCACAAATAGATATTAACTAGTTATCTTGAAATTGAAGTGTTTTTGTTTGCTTACAAGTTCTAGACAAAAGAAACTCCTGTTTGTATGTGATGAGCAGAAATTCAGTATATTGCTTGTGTCTAGGGAAGGATTTATTAATGTTAACAGTACAGTTATATTCTCAGTTACAGTGTAAGCTAGTCCGGACTACCATATGGTAGAAGTGCAGATGGAAAAAACAATGTTTGGACTGTGAGGAAGTCAAAAATCACATGTAAATGTACTGCTAATGGTATTTAGTAGTTATATGGTTCAAGAATCATATGTAGTGATAATCTGAGACTCTAGTAATGTGTGTTCTAAAGCTGGTGTCAGCTGACTGCTG